CGCTGACCCGCCCTGCCTGCAGTATGCAAATTAGCCATCTTCGTTGGTGGTTAATTTGCATATTGCACTGATTAGCCAATGGGGGCATAGCGAAGGTACGGTCAATTACCATGTTTGTCTATATCTACGCCTTAGGACGACAATTTGTGTTAATAAATAGCAAGGGGTCCTGAGACAAGGAGAACTTGGTTTCTTTAGCCAAGCTCCTCTGGCCCCCAAATGCCTTTCAAAATTATGTTTCATCTTTGGACTCTTGATTAATTTACACACAGTGCTTCTCCAGAGTCCTGAACCCTTCTAGATGCTGGATTAAGACCACTGGCAGTTATGTTTCAGTGAACCCTCTCTTTTGTTAAGATGCTAGTCTCTGGAAATACCTTTCTGCAAGTGGTAAGCATGTCTTTTTTATCTCTTTGGAGGAGGCACAGGAAAAACATCAATAGTGCTAATGCATTTTGGGAACACTTTGGGAAAATATTCATGCTTGCCACCTGTTAATTTTTAAATTTGTATGCATGAGGTTACAGATTGGCAATACTGGAATTGTTAGGCATATTTGCAGTCTGTGTTCATAATGAAGAAGAGTGTAGCTGCATTTTCCTAAAATTAACATCAAACAATCAAACCTGAGTATCGTGCAGAAAACATGTTCAGTGTACACAGACCAAGTATTAGGCTTGTGTCACCTTGTGTGGTGATCCCACTGGGAGAATTCTAGCACATACTTTGGGAACATAATTTCAATGGGAAATCTGCCACTGACAGATTTCTCTTTTCTTCTTTGGAACAGAGCAAAGACAGTTGATTCACAGAGTTTTCTTTCTTTTTGTTTAGTTCTCATTTCAATAAGTCAAAGATGTGTTCAGGCATTCCAGGTAACAGATGTGTATGTAAAGTTAACAAATATAGGCTTTTAAGAAATTCAACTCTTTAGATATTACACCCAGTCTATAATGTTAAATATGTGTCCTTAAAGAGTTTGAGGTGTATGTCTTCCATTTCATATTTTTTACAGGCTATGGCATGTGCAGAATTAAAGTACCAATGTAAGACTGTCCCTGTGGGCCCAGCGATTATATGTGAACTCATTCAATCTTCTTTAGCCAGGGCCCTACCACTGACATTGTGATTTTGCTTTGAGACCTTTCCTCTCCTGGGCACTGAAGTGCTATAGAGCCAGCTGGCAAAGACACATCACATGTCTTATGCTAAAGCCACTACCTGATTTTTTATTTGCAATTTGAGCCAGTTAAAGACCAATAAATTTCCTTTAAAAAAAAAAAGAGAGCAATTTCAAAATGGTGACAGAGTAAGTGGAAGCTACACTGACACTCTCCCAGGACCAAACTGGAAGCACAACTAAAATACAGAAAACCACGCTGAAAAATCAACTGAGGACTAGCTGGAGAGAACTCTGATAACCAAGGACAGAAAGTGGAGATGCAGTGGTTCTCAACCTTGGCTGCACATTAGAATCACCTGGGAATCTTTTAAAAATCCTGATTTCTGGGCCTCATCCTCCGGAAATTCTGTTTCTTTGTTATGGGGTGGGGCCACAACATTAGAAACAAAGAAACAGAATTTCCGGAGGATGAGGCCCATAAATCAGGATTTTAAAAAGATTCCCAGGTGATTCTAATGTGCAGCCAAGGTT